ATTGGTATACATCTTGACCCCCGTGGGTGGCTGCGCTGCCACTGTGCAGCATGCTTTGCAGGGGAGGGTGGGAAGCGTGACATTTAGTGGATTTGCCCCCACCGCTGCCGCCATTTCCTCCTTTGTTGGTTCCCTTGGGGGATTTCACGAACTGTGCTCCTTTTCCCCGAAGCTCTGCGGGGTTGTAGCTGTCGCCGATGACCTGCGAGCGCCGCTGGTGAAGGAGTTGCGCTTCTGGCTCGTGGGAGCGAGAGCGGCTTTGGCTCTGGGAGCTTCGACCATGACTCTCCTGGGGAGGGCTCGTTCCTGAAAGACAGGTCGGAGCTTGAGGGGGCAAGATCGTTTTTCACCGCCACTTAAACACAATGCATCATTGTGCTAATGCTGGGAGTGATGCATTCCAGCATGTGTCCAAAAAATGTATTGTGCGAATGCTGAAAGGCAAGCTTTGAATTCAAAATCATATTTTCATGACTTCTGCCAAGTTCAAAAGAGAAACAGAAGAGGTTCTGTGTTTTAATTGTTGTGTTTTGGCTTGTAGGATTATGCAAAAACTCAAAATTAAAGAACCAGCATCTTTGTGAAGTCTGTCAACATCTTGAGTACATCTGTTTTTATTGGTTGTTGGAATTTTGATGAATCTTTATTTAAGCCTTTTAAAATGCATTTGCCAAGGACGTGTGTTTACTCAGCCCTGCCCATTTGATTTATGGCAAAATGTTTTGGGCACCCTGAAAATAATGGGAATTTGTGGGTTGAATGATTTTGGTTTATTTATTACAGTTTCACATTTCCTTTCAATTTTTTTTTTAGAATTCCAAAACAGACTAGATCAACCATATTCACTGTCTCTCCACCGTGCATGAAATTTTGCTGCAGAGTTAGATAAGTGTGCAGATTATATTTTCAGATTTCGGGTAATTTAAATGGGGTGCTGAGTGGAGCAGTGACCCACCAGATTCTGCAGATAAAGCGACAACAACAACAACAACAACAAACGTTTCTTTATTTTGCTGGCACTTACTGCCACCTACTGGACTACAGTAGAAAACTATTGCCGGACATGCCCTAGCCATTCTAATTGGACAGTCAAACACATGTTTAGGATTGTTTGGCCTTTTGCCATTCTATTTGTTATCGGCCAACTTCATGATGAGAGGGACTCAGCAATATCCTGAAGAGAAAACGAATACATTATTACATGAGCAAAATTCCCAGAGTCAGCGAAGTGCCCAAAGAGTTGCTTATTACCGGTAGATGGCGCCAAAGCAATACTTTCATAAAAAAAAACACAGGTGTTTTTTTTTCTTTCAACAAATAAAGGCTAGGTTAAAATACAATAAGTGAATCCGTGATTATGTGGGGGAACACCGCAATGCGGCGAGGGTGTCTAGTCCATCTTACTCTGCTCAAATAAAAATATGCTTGCGATGCACCTTCACTTTCACCTCACCTTCAAATCTGGAGGTGTAGTTCTCTATGCCAGCCAAATCCAGGTAGTGATTCCTCCTTTCTGTGTTCTCATCCACACAATAATGCTGGCCTTCAGTGGCTGAGGGCTCGTTGCTTTGGACCCTGCTGCTTCAAATAAAAATGGTATTGCAGGAAGTGAATAAGGGCATGTGAAATACTGTATGACTTTTGTATGTGCAATTCTCAGCAAAGTGACCTGATGTAGGCCGACATGCGCTTGTCAGCTGAACGACCCTCCTCTTGGTGACAGCGATCTGAAGAACCAAAGTGAAACAGGTCAGAAAAAATCACATGAAAGTGAAAGCAGAGTCGGTTTTGAATTCAGAATCGTATTTTCATGACTTCTGCCAAGCTCAAAAGAGAAACACAAGAGGTTCTGTGTTTGAATTGTTGTGTTTTGGCTTGTAGGATTATGCAAAAAGTTAGGACGCTAATTAATTAATCACACATTTTTTTTTATCGCTTGACAGCACTAATATATATAGCAATTAATTTGAGAATAATTAGCTGTTGATAAATTAATTGTGGCACCTCTACAGACAATCACACTTGCACATTGTAACTCACCATTAGTGACTCCAAAACAACAAACAGTAATAATAATTCAGACAATTTTATGCTAGGACGCTTTGACAATATCCTGTTCCAGGATGACAAATATTTGCCCAACCTGTTTCTCTTTTGTGGCATTTCGGCTCTGGAGTGACCGTCAGCTTGACACGCAGCGTCTTGTTTTTATGATGGCAGGAATGATTGACCGAGGCGTCAACTACATCATAGATGGTGTGCATCAGGCTGGACATATCCTATAATAACAGCAGAAACACAGACGCTTCGGCTAATGGTCCACATATTGGTCACTGTGATAAATCCGGTAGATGCATACACATTTTCTTCAGACGTAAACATGCCTATCCTGACTTGAAAACACACACACACACACACACACACACACACACACACACACACACACACACACACACACCTCCTTTGTCACTTTGCCACTGTTGTCAAAGTCGTAAAGTGTGAATATCCACTCCTGGCGGTTGTCATCCTCCACAGAAACATCACACTCCAAGTCCTGCACATACATCAGATTATGATAATGACTTATTTCTAATAAGGATACACATCGTTTGTGCTCATTGTTTTTTCATGATGTTGTCTGAGAGGTGTTCGTTCATACTGATTTGCAATAGGCACACGTTTGGGGAAACAGCTTTACCATGATACACTATATGCCATAAGAGGGCAGCAAAATATCTACAATTTAGGGATTGGCTCCGGCTCATCCACGATCGCGTGAGTACCAAGAGCTATAGCAAATGGCTGAATGGAAAACCTCAAAACAAACTCTTTCTTTCGCCACCAACTTCTGTGATTTAATCATAGACAAAAAAAGCAACATCTGCTTTCCTGTAGGCCTGGTGGAGAAGCCGCCGTGTGAAAAAGGCAGCGTACATTTATGAGCGATGGGTCTCTCAGGAGAAGCAGCCCTTTATGGCTCTCTAATGTCTTTTTAGCACATGCGATCAGGACTGATCACTAAAGCATGATAAAGATGGAAGCCAATCCTAAATTGTAATTTGTTCTGGAGCGGTATACTGTACGGACATACTGTATGTCCAGGCACCCACAATTCTATCGATTCTTCCTGTAAAGAGTTTTAACTGGAGAAACACTTAAGTGGTGCTCAAATAAGGCTGCAGCATCAGCCCACGCTGGTTTGATTTGAACCTTCTTCTCTTTGCATTCCTATTGCTTTTTTCCCCCCCAATAAAATAGTGACCATCAGATATGTTAACTGTCGCAATGAAGACTTACGTCCAGATTGATTTGTTTTTTCCCGCTCGCTTTCATTTCTCGCTCCCTGTCCTCAGCGTGAAGGTACTGAAGGTGATTCTCGCATCCCTCCGGCTTCTCAGGAGGGAGAGCCACTGTCGTAAGAGACACACATACGAGACACACATTAGTCTTTTTTTTTTGTTTTGTTTTTGTAAATGGAAGAAAGCATATGTTGCCAGAAAGCATTGAAAATCTTTTTTCAATATATACAACTGGCTTGCAAAAAAAAAAAAAGTGGACTTTTCACAACTCAAATACAAGATAGTTGACATTTAATTTTAGTCATGAAATGATCTGAATGAATCGTGACATAATAATATTTCTACATCCATCCCATTTCTATAGCGTCCTCATTAGTTGCACACCATCGGATGTTTGAGACTTCATTGTACCTAACACATGCATGTCTTTTGAAATGTGTAAGGAAGCTGTAATACTGTGAGAAGACCAACACACGCACGGAGAGAAGATGCCCAGATTCGAACCCGTGACATCTTGAATGCAAGGCAGGCATGCTAACTACTAGCTAATTGTGCTAGTGTTACTATAGTGTATATTGTCAATCCAACACATTGCTCATCAATGTATAGATGACTCCTCTGATAGCATTCATTCACCTCTCCTTTTAATATGAGTTACATTTCAAAAACACTTTGAAAATATGCCACTTTTTACTTGAAAATATGTAACTTTATTCTAGTAATATGAAAATGTTGACATTTTATCTTAACAACTGACTTTTTCTTTTTGGAAAAATAAACAACTCAATTCTCGTATGAGTTTAATCTCGAACACGGCTCTTTTACCTTTCAACTTCATTGATTTTACTGCTTTATTTTTTTTTAATCTCAAAAATATGTATTCGCTTCTTGAAACTATACAACTCTATTTTCAAATTATGACTTTCACGTAGTGTATTTTCCCCCTTCCAGCATGGCCCTTATTCTCCTTTACCTCCCGGTATATAATAGTCCAGCCTGGAATTGTAAAAAAAAACTAAAATAAAAAATTCACTTGGATTTTATCCAGCGAGTCCTTTCCAACTTACCCTCAAGGGGGCAGTGTTGATCTGCGAGGTGTCCGGTTTTCATATGCCCATTTGGAAACTCCTGGGAGGAGAAGAGGAAGATCAGAGAAGTAAGTGAATTTACAGTTCAGACCCCAGACACAGAGAAAATAAACATTTCAGGCAAAAACATTTCCTCGTCAGATGTGTGCAAAAAAAAAAAAAAAAAAACGGCCTACACGGACGGTGCGGCCAAACACTTTGAAACGTGCACCACGCTGATTGGGTTACACTGCCTGGGATACAAGCAAGCGCAGCCAAGAACAATAAGATTCCCCCCCGCCAAGCCTTCAAACGGACCCTTGCATCCATTTTAAAAAGGAAACAAACAACCCCCCAAATAACAAAGCGGAAATTAAGATGCATTTCTGCGATTCATCTTGTGATCGCTCGCTTGGTTCTCACCAAAAAAAAAAAAAAAAGCGAGGAGAGCTTGATGACAGAAGCTCAAAGTTAGAGGAAGTTTGGTTACAAACCCCGTTCAAAATTCAGAGCAACTCGTGTACTGTATTTTCTTTGAAACTGGGGACAACAGCCAGATGGACATTTCGTGATTCCTTTATTTTGGAGTTTCAATTAAGCGCAAGACAAAAGAGGTGGAAGGGGCACAAGGAAGGAGTGCTGCCATATGGGAATAATCCACTTCCTACACAAACCAGAACCACGCCACATGTGTTAATGCACACAAGCGTGCGCGCGCGCACAATTTAATTACGCCGGGATTGTGGAAACAATGACAATTAAATGCAGCACAAGCCTTAAGAGGCAAGAATTCAAACAACAAATGATTCATCTTATTTACGTCATGTTCGCTCCTCTGAGCTGCCGCTGCACTTTGAAATCAAATCTGAAGGAGGCCCACCGCAAGGAGGCAAATAAAAAACAGATAGATGCTAGGGGAAAAACAAAACAAAAGAACTGCATGTACTGCATGTGAGTCTCAACATCTGCATGCGTTTAGGTGAAGGACCCCCCACCCCCCGTCCCCACCACTACCACCCTTCCTCACGTCTCCCTTCCTCCCATTCCTCTCTTTCTCAGAGTAATGACAATAGCAGGGCCTGTGGTTCTATTTAACAATCGCAGAGACCGTGATTACTCCCCACTTCACAGGACGAGTCCTCCAGGCTCTAATCTAGCCCCCGACCTTCACCACTGTTGGTGGGGAGGGGGCGGGGGTGTGTGTAGTGAAGCAATCGTATCTCAGGGTCAAGGTTTTTGAACGGCCGCTGCAAATTGGCCCCATGAGATTTTTGGGGAGAAAACAGCAAAAGATTGGGAGTGAAGCCTTAGGGGGCGGTTGAGCGGGAACGCAAAGGAGGGGGAAGGGGAGAGAGAGGCAAGAAGTACAAAGTGAACGCACAAAGGAGGAAAAGGGATGATAAGAGGAACAAAGATGGGAGAGGACCAGATACCGCAAGAGGATGTGGTTTTCCTAACAGTTGGATAGATAGGAACTATCTAATATTTTAATGGGACCCCCGCCGAAGAACTGGAGGAGGTTTTTGCGTTTTTTTTTCTCCACACCCTGTGATGTTGAGAGGACTGGTACTGCTCCCCGAGCCCCAAACAAGTCTTTAATCACTGCACACTGTACACACTTCAACCTAAACAGTCCGTCAAACACCCAAGCAACGCATCTTGTGGCTTTTTTAACCTCCCAATTCCCTTTGGGGCTATTTTACACGACGGCATCCCTTTTTCAGGCCTTCAAACTCAAATGTTTGAAAATAAATAGAAAATTCCAGTTAAAACACTGTTAGAATGTCCGGCTGAGTTACTCACTAATATTATAAACAATTACATAACCGCGTATATACCCTTGCATTCGTTTAAAATGCCCTTTCAAAACATTGTCTTTTACAAACTCTTTTCTTCCAAGCTTGCTGCCATCATTTCGAGGGTGTGAAGTTAAAATTGGTACATATGCATACCGCGTTATTTTTTTGTAACTGTGCCTGGCATTCAGATTAAAATGTTTCCTTGTGTATTTGTGATTTGCTATTTGCAGATAAAGGATGGTTGGATGAATGGAATTCACCTGAAAACTCAATCTATTTTGTGTGTAGGCCAAAGCTGTGTGTACTGTAAAAGTAGTGCCTTGACACCATCTTAGTGCCAAGGACCTATGTTGAATTGAATGGAGGAGCTTCTTCTTGACAGGGCTGGTGTGTTATTATAGTGACATTCGCTTTTGGCCTGGCATGATGATGTTATTGCCTTTTTCATCTTTTTTTTACAGGTCAGTGTGCATATGGACTATTTTGACATGAAAAAAAAAAGCTTTCATTTCTGACAATTTTGTTGGGTAAATGAATGCCCTAACGAAAGGCGGCATGAGAGGAAAAGTGAGTTGTTCTGCAGCTCGAAGACACACACGGTAAAGCATCAAGCGCTCGTACGCTTGAAAGGTGGATTGCCATGAAACAAACAATAAAGCCAATTAAAATTGAGGTTGGAGGAGATGTAACGTCTCACTGATTGAAGCCCTTCGCAAAGTACTGCACCCCGGCAGCTCCTCATCACATCCGCGGAGGGTGCTAATGAGAGAGCAGACCCGTGTCTGACCGCAGTCTGCAGTTTACCATCTACACACATGGCATCTCCATCCACATCGCCCAGGGTGTCGGCCTCCAAATCTGCCAGCCACATGTGTCATTAACCGCCTTGTGGCATCTCGCCGCTGCCATTTATTCCTCCATCAGATCACAAAGATGCTCGGTGGGGCGACGCAAACAAGTCTGGGGCGTCCTTGTTTTCCACCTGCAAGCTATGATCCACGCATATTTTGAGTGAGATGACAAGCAGCATGCGCGCGAATGACAAGGACCGACAGGACTAACTTGTAAGCAAGTGTCTTCCAAGTGCCGTGGCATAAGCGAGAGCCTGAAAAGCGTGTGATGTTTGTTCGCGCTTGCTGCGGCGGCACCTCTGCCAAGCTTCCCCACAGCTTCGGCTTCGGCTGGCAGACTTTCATGTGGGTTAAGGCAACCCGGGGGAAGTATTCATTGCGCCCCCACCAAGGTGATATCAGGCATCCCCCTTTTCTACAAGCATCCCACCCATCCTCCCGCTGGAAAACAGTACACATCTTTGTTCTTACAACCCCCCCCCCCCACCCAGCTCCACAGCTTAAAACGCATATCCGTAGTCTTCCTTCAAAACGCATGATGTGCAGAACACGTTTTGATGTGCAGACACACGCACACACACACAAAAACAGTCGATACTTGGACGAAAGATTGCCGAAACAGTTCCTCTGGCCTTAGGGGTATGAATTACAGCAGCATGCATATGTATCTAAGTCCAAACATACTGTATGCTGCGGAAAAAAAAAAAAAAAAAAAACAGGATATCGTCAAGAGGCTTCCTCATATTTTCCAGTCAATGCGGCTTTCGGAAATTATGCAATTAAGATCCACACAACTTGGACAGTACAGCTCATCTTCCCTTGCCCGAACAAGATCTCACTCATTTCCTCAAAAGTGTCGAAGGTGACCCATACTTTAAGTCACCTGACACCTTGAGGAAGGGCGCCAAGGGAAACCCTTGAAGCTTTTCAGCGAACCCAGTATAGGGGGGGGGGGGGGGCTAATTGCTAACGGAAACATGGCTCCGGTGGTGTCAGCGTAAAGAAAGGAACACCGCTTTGTAAACATTCGGAGTAGTCGTCACCGGGAGATGAAACCGGAGAGCGCGGGAGGCCAATGAGGAATAAAAGACCTCCACTCCGGGAGAAACCAACCCGGCCTTGACTCAAAACCAGATGTAAGTGTTTAAACTGAAGAGAGCCAGTGGAGGCAAAGATGATTGGGGGGAGGTAGAGGGTTGCAAAACATTCTTGCAAGACGGTAAAAGAACAATGAATAGATGGCAGACACGCGGGCCCGCGTTCTCGGTGGTTCAGCCTCGAGCCCTCGTCAGGGTAATTATGGTGGGTGAGTCAACACAGAGCACTGGCCTCAGCGAGTATTGAATGGCAGTTGCACTGAACCTCAAAGCCTGAATGCAATCCGTGACGTTGCTTGCTTCGGATGCAGAGGAGAATTTTCTCATTGGAAATTGTAGTTCAAAAGATCCGTACAAGTCTTTCAAAAAGTTCAGCGGTAGGAATGAAAATCGAACCGGTTCTTTTTGAAAATTGTTTCCCAGTAATTCTTCCATCCATCTATTTTTTCATCTGTTTATCCTGACGAGGGTCGCGGGCCCCAGTAATTCAATTTCTCGGAATTGTTTGTTTACCTGCCCGACGATTTTGTTTTCTACCTCACAATTGAGTGATGGCCGCCCGGTGGTCCAGTGGTTAGCGCTTCGACTTCACAGTGCAGAGGTAGTGGGTTCGATCCCAGCTCCGGCTTTCCTGTGTGGAGTTTGCATGTTCTCCGCGGGCCTGCGTGGGTTTTCTCCGGGTACTCGGGTTTCCCCCCCACATTCCAAAAACATGCATGGCAGGCTGATTGAACACTCTAAATTGTCCCTTAGTGTGTGGATGTGAGCACGAATGATTGTTCGTCTCTGTGTGCCCTGCGATCGGCTGGCAAGAGGTTCAGGGTGTCCCCCGCCAACTGCCCGAAGACAGCTGGGACAGGCTCCTGCACCCCCTGCCACCCTTATGAGGATGAAGCGGATCGGAAAATGGATGGATGGACAAATGAGTGATGTCACATGCAAAACGTGTGGTGTGGTTACAACATGGCAATTTAATTTCATCAAAGGAGGCGTACCTTTCCAATATGCAAAAACGAGAAACAACATTTGGACATCACCACTGGAAATCAATCAGAAAACAAACTGGCTTCAGTCTTGGCAAATCCCATTCCTATTCATTACTGGTAATAGTCCATCCATCCATTATCTCAGAGGAAACCAACGCATGCAAACTCCACACAGGAAGGTCAGGGCCAGATTCGAACCAATGACCTCTGCACTGTGAGGCGGACATGCTAACCAGTCTCCACCGTGCTGCCTTACTGGTAATTAATACATCTAAAGAATAAGGCCCTCAGGCCTTACGTTTAATGACAAATTCTTACACTGCTGTTC